CATAAACGTGTCTCTGGGGTCGAAATATACTAACCCTAAAAATATTTGCACTTATTTAAGACTCATAATATATATACCCTGTATAATGTTCACATACATAATTATCTACATAGACATGTGAAATGTTTTTCATTATACATATTATGTAGTATATTATAAACTAACTTTAATTGATAATTACAAGATTGATTGCTGTATTTTGTGATTGTTTTTCAAATAGATAAAATTAAAACATTAATTTAGTTTGATAATGCATAATGCATTGTTTTTATTGCTGCTCTCATGAAGTACATATAATGTTTGAAGAAAATATAAATATTTTGTATATTATTAATCCTTTTGGTTGGAATTTAAACTGTTTGTCTCCCACATCGTCCCAGATAAAATAGAATTTGAACGGATTTGTGCCAAAATAGTTTTAGTTCATTCACCGCCAAAAATAGAATCATCAGACAAATGTACAACGCCAAAGATTAGCCGTTATCATCGGCCTTGGCTACTCAACGTCAGTATATAAATAAATAATAATGTAATTAGATCAATTACCACGGTATTTAATATTATTATGCATATTAATAAATATATCAGTGTTTCAGTAAAAACGTATCAAGTAAAAGCTTGTGTGTAGACGACACTAATAAATAGAGATGAGCAAAACTGCGATTCTCCAATCGAAAATGAAACTGCGATTGCGATTTTAATATTTACCAAACCAAATTATTAGTAAAAAGTGCTTTTTCTGAATATATAGTCTGTCCAACGAGAAGATCCTTGACAGTGATAGATGTGTCTGTCATTTGAATTTCAAAGCAGTTTATTTTATTTTACAAAGAAATAAATTGGTACAATTGGAACGCATAGCAGGAAATTAATACATGTATTTAAAATTTGACTGACAAGTAACTTCAAAATATTGTGAAAAAAACTGTATAAAACTGAAAAATGTAATCGAGTTATTTTATTTAATAAAAAACGGTATGTGTTAATACAAAACAAACAAAAACAAGACACCACATACTAAAAGATATAAAAAAGAACTATTTCTTACTTTCAAGCTTTATGAAACTTCCCGCATTTATGATTATATTTATCAATATAACTTATATACAAATACAAATTTGTAATATTCCGCAGGAATAAATAAAACAACATAAATAAAACAAACTATTTTATTAATAATAACACTTACCAAATTTTATACCTCACAAGTTATTAATTAACTTTAATCTTAATTTTTTAAACCAGTACCTTTGACATTATTTTTCTGCAGTACTAAAATCCATTATTTACCTATCGTGTGATGTCGATATTTTACAGCTACTCCAGTTTTTAGTATGTGTTTAGTATGGTCCTTCTACCATATTCGAGATGCACTTATCTACGACGAGATGGTATACGAACTTTATTGATAGTAACTTTATTGGTGTATCTGTATAAGACTTTCTGCCTGGGCAGCGAGTATTAACCATAAACTGTGCTCTGGGTTCTACAGTTAATTTTCACTCGATTTTTCCTCCACTTGACTTCAAAAGACACAAAACACACGTAATAACACGAATCAAAATGCATCATCTTCCAAAACGCAGGGTATTTGACAAAAGTTGTCACAAAATTATAACCTATAATTTGGCAAGACTTTGACAAACGTCAAAAATCTAAAGGCGAGTTCATACGCATCGGCGTCCGTTTGTCGTTCATCGTTCCGTCAAACCAATAAAATTGAAATACGATCTGTCATTTTTGAAATAAACCAATAAAACTGGTTAAAAACAACAAGTGACGACGCATGACGAATTTATATTTAAACCCATCCGTAGTTAACTTAAAAATTATTAGAAACTTTTTTTAGTAAAATAAATAGATTGGTATGGGACGTCATCTGCTTTTCTTCTGTCATCCTCTGTCGAAATCTTACCTGAGAAAAAAAACACAGAGTATACCAATAAGTCACCCATTTTAAAAAATTGAGATATGATTAAAAATATGCTTTTAACTAGCCAAGACAAGACGCGAAAAACTATAGACGATCAAATCTTTTTTCTTCAAGGTTTCTTGATAAAAATTCGTGTTTTTAACACAGCCATGACATTCCAGATTGAAATTTAAAATACGATTTTTTAAGCGAAAACGTCAAGAGTGGCCATATTATATGCCATTCTATTCAGAGTGTCATTTTCTATCGAATAAAGTAAAAAAATACCGAGTGTGTCATTTAAAAATCAAAAGTTGTAGTCAGTTCCGATGAAACAGGAAGTGCCTAAAAACAATTGAATACGTCAATCAATCCTAATTCATGTCATATACTAACATACCAAATCTCGTTTTTTTTATCAGAAAAAATAAAAAAGTTATAGGGGTGAGCCACTCTTGAGAAACACTCGGTATATTATGATCGTGGCCCCAGAAAAATAATACTTTTTCTATAAATAAATATGAGGGAGAAAATTCAATCGCAGTTTTATCAATAAAAATAATTTTTTATCAATAGACCACAAAATTACATTCGCAACAATATCGCAAATCGCAACTCGTAAAAATTCAAACTCGCTGATAGAAATCACGGTCCCATTTTACACAGTCACAATCGCAGCAAAATCGTAAATTGTAACAAAATCGCAAATCGCAACAAAATCCCAAATCGCAGCTATAGTAATACTGGTTGCCTAAATTGAAACTCGCAGATAGAAGAAATCACAATCGCATTCCTATGAGAGCTAATCGCAGGTTGCGGTAAAATCGTTGCGGTTGAATCGCAGTTTGCGTTAGGGTACAGTAATTAAATCCCACACCAAGTTGATTAAAATCAGTTCATCCAAGTAGAGGTATCAATATTTAAACGTAAACATATTTAGTCTTCCCCCACCACTTTATTTCTCACAATAGACAAAAATGGTTTAGAGCAAAAATTGCGTAATAGGTTGAAGAATACAGTTTTTTTTTCATCATATTTCAATTAGGCAAAGTTAAGACCAAATTGGTATTTTCGATGTTATGTTATGTTCTCTAGCGGTCAACTTTCGAACCTAACGTCCCGAGTTTTAGCCCACGCGTCGTCTCTCTATAATTGGCCACCCTTTACAGGGGTGTATATACGGGAGAGTTAATAGAGGTAATTACCCCACCCCCAGAAAGAAATTTATAAATAAGATAAAATGTGGTATAAAATAAAATTATATCAAAATAAATTATTAATAACAATCAAAGATTATTGTCTAATACTAATAATCTAATTAATATAACAACCATAGATTAACACCCTCCGCATGGAAGTTGTAACCAATGCAATTAAAACTCTTTTGTGCAACTTCGTGGTTATAAATATAATATAACAAAAAAAAAGATTAACCCCTCCGCATAGAAGTTGAACAAAACTCTTCCGCGTAACTTTGTGGATATAGGTTGGTATATTTAATTATTGTCGATCTCATAATAGGTAATTTATTTAAAATCCCTAATCATCCGAAAAAATAGAAGATATGGCAACGTTGTATATTTTCAAATTTCTAAATTAGGTCTAGAATATATTTGTCTCTCTCCTTACATAGGAGAGAGAAAGAAGGATATATCAAATGTCAAACTTCCATCTGATCTTAATTTTCTTTGTGATTTTGTTAAGAAAAGTGTTTTTCAGTAAAATTTTGGACATTTTTCTATACCCAGTCAAGTGTAGCTTTTAGATAAACTTTAATATAATGAAAATATAATGAAATTATTACTTTATAGAGCCGAAATAAAGAAAAATTCAATGTTGAAATAATTTTCCGTTTTTCTGAAAAACGGTAAGAGACCGCCAAGAAAAAAGTTCAGATTCGTAATCTACGACCTCAAAATAGGGTGTATACCAATTTTAGTAAAAATCGGACGACTTCCAGTTTTCCCAATAATTACCCAATCAAAATAAAAAATTCCAGACCAACCCCAGTATATTTTTTCCACAGTCACAAAACATTTCAACGCAGATTTAATTTAAACCTATAGTAGTTTACTCAAATGTTGCCATACCCCTCGCAGAATCAATCTCTAGATGCGCCACTGACCCATTAGGAAGATATAAAAAAATACTTTATATAATTCAGAAAATATATATTATACATTCTATAAATACTATAAGTATATTAGTACTATAACTAATAAAATTAATGTTACTAGATTAGATAGGATGAATAATGTTTCCGGTGTTTACACAATCTGGTAAAAGCTTGAGGGAATCCCCTTTCTGAAAATACTCGTTTGCCTTGCCCCCATGATATAGGGTGATTCACAGCGATGTAGGTTAGACGTTTTTTAGAAAGGGTTCTTGAATTTTTTGGAAAATTTAGAATTGCACATAAAGGCTAATTTATTTTCAGCGTTACAGTGTTGCCGCAAATTCGAAAAGTAGTAGCATCTTTTTTTTTCATTTGTCTTGTTTATTATAAACAAAGGTTTTTACAGATTTAATTTTAGTTAGAGTGCAATTTTAAGTAGTTTTATTGTTTAGTTATTCACCAAATTACTTTTACACTGCATGAGACTACATTTATTTTAAAAGCTTGTAGTGAAAAAAAAGTTTATATTATATGTAACAAGATGCTTTACAATTAATAAAAAAAGAATTAATTATAAAATAAAAAAATATAAACACTCAACAAACAAATTAAATAACGAAGAATTAATTTGATAATTTTAACTTAAGTTTAACAATTAGTTACAAAAATAATTCTTATTTTTTAGTTAATGTCATAATAATAATTGCAGATAATAAAAAAAACATAAAAAATAATAATTTAAGGCATTATATTTAAACGGTATTTCATTTAAATTATATGCTTAAAAAAATATTTATAGTTATTTAAATATATTTTATATTTACATTTTTATTGCTAGATATTTTTAAATATAGGTATTGTTACCCTCTATATACACTTCTCTGACTTCTCACTCTAATATCTAATAATTATTATTGATTACTTCTATATGGCTAGAGCAAATTTAATTAATTTTATATTTATTTTATTTAGATGCCAGTAGTCCATTGAGGAATTCATATGATGCTACTCACCTGAGTGATGTCAGTAAGTATAAATTTATTTTACCTATTCTTAACAACAAGGCCTTAAAATCACGAAGTCATAGCTTGCCGCGTTGCTAGTTTTCACCTTTTTGACCATTACTTTAAGAAAAAAGAAGAAAACACAAAAGACATGAAGAAATTACGATATTTGCAAAAAAACGATTTTAGATCATCTCGCCAATAAGGCTAGAAAAAAGTATAAACGATAATCGATCGGGTATTTCGCGTGCAATCTACAAAAAATACCTCCAGAGACTAACCAGCGCAAACAAAACACGCCTACGGCGAATTTTTATTGCAATTGCCAGCAGCTGTAAAAAAATAAAAATATATACAGGGTTGTTCACCACATACGACCCGGAGTATTGTAGCTAAACGATTAGATTTTTACAAATTGTAAATTTTGGGTTCGTTGAAGGAGTTACAATTTAAAAATATTTATATATATTTATATTTTTATAAATATTTGAAAAAATATTAACTATTATGCTGTACTTATAGGGTCGCTCTTAGGGGTCGGGTAAAGCGAGTGTGTGGCGGAAGGAAATATATATTATACAGGGTTGTTCACCACATACGACACGGAATATTGTAGCTAAACGATCAGATTTTTACAAATTGTAAGTTTTGGGTTCGTTGAAGGACTATTAGAGCTACAATTTAAAAATATTTTTACAAGATACAGAGTGTCCCAAATAAATAAAAAATATCAAAGTTGTATTTTTTTAAATGGAACACCCTGTATATTATTACATTTTTAGTTTCTATGATTAAAATAAAGGTAAATTTGATTAAGGTTTGTCACCCTTAAACCTTACCGTTTTTGAAATATTTTCAATTTTGTGAAATTGCAGTAAAAATTTTAAGGCTTCATTTCTCTAAGGATATCAAAGTTTTAAATACTAAATATTTACTGAAGTTTAATTATTGATCAGTTATTGTGTTGCAATAATAAAAATAATACTTCCTCATACAGAGTGTCTAAAAATTTATTTTAAATAATTTCTAGCTTTAAACGGCAATAGCTTGTTTAATTTAAATAGAACACCCTGTATATTTTAGGAGAATCAGATGCACAATTTAATTGTCCATCAAATTGTATTATACCATTTTTACCTATCCCTTCAAATTTTCGTAGAAAATGCATTTTCTTATAATTTAGACCTCATTTATCAATATACCCATGGAATATTGACATTTTAGATCGTTTTTAAAGCAACAAATGTATAGGTGCTAAAAACGATAATATTACCAGCCTATTGGTATACAAAAATAAAACTATTTAAATCTTTATAAAAGAGTATACCATTAATTAAATATACCACCATTATTTTCGCCAAAATAATAATTAATTACATATTTAATTGTGTTAGTTAAAAAATTATTCCAAATAAATGTGGATTTGGAATCAGAAATCAATATAATAATAAGTTATGAAAATGAACGTCTCTGTTATAAATAAGCTTCCGTCAAAAAATGAAATAAAATGTTTAAGGTGTTATTTTACGTTAAGGTGTTACCACACTGTCTAATACACATACAAAATTAAGTTTTTTAGTATTTGGAGCAATTATTATCAATCAACGCAAACAGTCAAGTAATATAGTTTGAATACTACTAATTGGAATCATATTAATTGGTTACAAATATTTAAACAACTTTTTTATTTTTGAATGACATAAACGAACTATATCGACAATATTAGTATCTGTACCCTTTAAAAATTTGTTACATCTTTAAAAATAATCAAAAATGTCAATATTCCATGGGTATATTTATAATTGAGGTTTAAATTATAAGAACATGAATTTCTACGAAAACCTAAAGACATAGGTAAAAAATGATATAATACAATGTGATAGACAATTAAATTGTGCATCTGATTTTCATAAAATATACAGGGTGTTCCATTTAAATTAAAGAAGTTATTGCCGTTTATAGCTAGTTATTATTTAAAATAAATTTTTAGATACTATGTATAAGGTAGTATAATTTTTATTATTGCAACACAAAATTTTAGTATAGAAATATTTCAGTACAATATTTGGTTTTAAAAACTTAAATACGTCTGGAGAATTAAAGCATTAAAATTATTACTGTATTTTGACAAAAACCTAATATTTCAAAAATGGTAAGATTAAAATGCGGTAAACCTTAATCAAATTTACCTTTATTTTAATCGTAGAAACTAAAAATGTAATAATATACAGGGTGTTCCATTTTAAAAAATACAACTTTGATATTTTTTATTTATTTGGGCCACTCTGTATCTTGTAAAAATATTTTTAAATTGTAGCAAACAACTTGCAAAAATCTTAGAGTTTAGCTATAATACTCCGCGTCGTATGTGGTGAACAACCCTGTATATTGGTGGGACACGAACCTGGGACCTCTCGATCCTGAAGCGACTGCCTTACCAATGGAACCACAAAGGCATTACTTAGTTACGCCGTTCATAACGTAATAATAAGTACCAAGACAACACACACACACAGCGCTAAAATTTCCAATGGTTTATACGACAACCCCACCTCTGTGACTTCGGGATTTTAGAGCCTTGTATTCTTACACTCGTACATTATTTGTATTTTAGTACACTTTTTGTAGTACACTTGCACTTTATTAGTTCACTAGTACTTTGACAATTTCAATAATAAAAATGTAATTCTAAGATTTTTGCATATTTTTGGTTTATTGGACACTTCTTAAAAATAATAGCCTTTCGACTTTCGAGTATTATTTCCGAGAATATTTCATTACTGCTGTCAGTATTATAATAAATTATGTATTCATTCATTAAGTAATATGTTGATGTAAGTATATTATATAACACTTAAACAAGTCAATTGACAAAGTCATAGTTCCATTGATACATTATTATTATTTTAATATAATCGATTTAATCTAATGAAATAAAATATCTTCTTTTTGACTGGCATAATCATTAATCTTGAAATTTTCACGACATTTTTACTAATAAAAAGAAAATAAATAGAAATACATACAATTACTTTCAAATTAATAGTTGATTGCCCTAGTAAGCTAAGATTAAATAATGATATTCCTTAGGTTCATTCTGAAATAATCTAAATTCAAAAGTCATGTAATTTTTTATTTTCAGTGCGGTTCAATAGTCAAGAGAATATCTAGTACTACGTAGCTAGATATTCTGTGCTATCAGGCTACACAAGAATAATCATTGTCTAATATTATTAATTACAATATAGTAAAAAATATATTTCCGAAACTTAAAATCGTAAAACTGCAGGGCAACAATGGCTAACACTTTTCTGGCGGTCCGCCTTTTATAGGTTATAATCACTTGTGTCTAGCCCTAGCACGCAACTGTTAAGCCCGACCAATCACGTTAGAGTTTTTGACAAACACAAATGAATTAACACACTCCAAATAACCACGCTAACCAACCTGATTGGTCAAGCTTAATAATTGACTGCTAGGACTAGACACTTCTGTTATAATCCACGGCCAGAGACATATACGTATTATTTAAAAATATACTCAGGGTTCCCTATTTAACCCCGTGTGCAGTTTCTGTGCCGTAAGAGAAAGACAACATAACCCAGCTCCATATTAAAACTGCATAAGTCTATTTCACCCGGATATGGATTGAAATGCGCTTGCGCCAAACTCCGATTGATTGTTGTTTTAGTTCTGTTTGGATTACTTTTTATTTGTGCGCGTAAAAGAGTGATTTTGTTTAAAGGGTTTAGTTTATTGTTTCCAACTATTTTTTGATATTTTTGCAACTCCGTGATAATGTGTTATAAATAATAAAAATATAAATAAAATTGAAGGTTAGGTGAAATGTCAGTCAATCACTTCCCTTTAAAAACACCGACCAATAAAAACTTCTTCAGGTAAGGCATGCGCAGTTAAATGAATATCCGGGTGAAATAGACTTATGCAGAATTCCATATTTCTCTTTCACTGTTTGGGCTTCACTTTTTGGAGATTAGGCTGAGTATATTTGTAAATAATACGTATATGGTCAGGAGATGCCCAAGCCAATGAGTCAAAAAGTATCGCCTAAACTGCACTGGTCGACTGTACCGAGAAAGGAAAAGTCTTTGCATAGAGTGAATATCTTAGAATTTCCTGCTGAAGAAAAAAGAAGGATATATTAGATATGAAAGAAAGCACTTAATGTAAAATTATTACACCTCCATGAGACTAAAAAACTGAAAGTTCTACTAAATATTTTTTTCTCTTCATTTAGAAGACAAAAAACATTTTTAAAGTTGCCTATTTCAGGTTTGTCGGTAGGAATGTAAAACTTAGCCAATAAATGTCTCATAATTACTACAGTACTGTCTGTGTCCCATTCAATTTTAGACTATATTACAATATAATATGACAATGAGATATACAGGGTGTTTTGCAAAGTGGCTCACCCCTCTAACTTTTTTATTTTTTTAGATAAAAACGAGATTTGGTAAGTTAGTATATGATGTAAATCAGGATTGATTGACATATTCAATTGTTTTCAGTCAGTTCCTGTTTCACGGGAAATGACCACAACTTTTCATTTTTAAATGGCACCTTCTGTATTTTTTGCCTTATTTGATAGAAAATGACACTCTGAATATAATGACATATGTCAACTTTCGACATTCCCGCTTTAAAAAAATCGTATTTAAAATCTCATTCTAAAGTGCCATGGCTGTGTTAAAAACACTAATTTTTAATCAAGGAACCTTGGAAAAATAGGTTTGATCGTCTGTTTTTCGTGTCTTGTCCAAGCCAGTTAAAAGATGCCCAAATCGTATTTTTAATCATATCTCAATTTTTTCAAACGGAACGAGGGTGGCTCATTGGCATATTTGGAAAAACCATTTTTTACGAGTTCATATATATATATGTCATTCTATTCAAATTGTTATTTTCTATCAAATGAACTAAAAAAATACCTAGGCTGTCATTTAAAATCAAATCGTTGTAGTCATTTCCAATGAAACAGGAAGTGACGGAAACAATTGAATA